AACAGTGGTTAGAGATGAGTCTCTTTCTGGATAGTGGTTTAGCTGTGGAATAAAGATGAGAGATCAATGATGGTCTTGATCGGGAGAGCGGGTCTAAAAGAGTTTGCTCGATTAGTTTTGTTGTTATGTCCCAAAATATGTGATATAGCTTTCATTGGTATAGTAGATTTCAGTTGTTGTTGTGGGTTAGAGATATAACTTTATGTCTTAAAATCTGGATTTCAATTTGTTATGCCTATAGATGTAGCTCACTTGGAGTGAACTACGTAAATCTTTGTGTTCTTGTGGTGTTTGTATTTCATGTTTCATTTCTCATATTATGGTTTGGGCTCTCTCTTATTTTGTTTCTAGCTGGACAGTACACGATCTTGGTAGAATCCAACTTTTGGAATTCCTATTTCTGCATCTAAAAGGGTTTTTAAATCCTAACACTAATAATACCTGTTTGGTTCAAGCGGTTGGACTGTCAATTGGTATCTCGACGGGTCCTGTCTAAAGCAAAAATTGAATTTGATCAAAACTAATGTTAATTGATTTTGACTGATCAGACCGGTTAAACAAAGTTAAATATTTTAATATATATTTTGTATTTTTTACTATTACTCTTATTTTTTTCTTTAGTTTTGTCCAACCAATTCGACAATTTTTATTAGACCAAATTCCTCACGGGTTTGGTGGCTAGTTTAATCTTGAGAATATTATATAGTATAGAAGTGCTTTGAACGAACTACTAAATCACAAAATAAAAGCCCTTTCTTAGCTCAAAACACAATAGAGGCTTAGTTCGCCTAAAGTCAAGACCTTCACCTGTTGAGAGAGGACCTCAAAAGGCTACATATAGTTTGAATGTTTGGGCAATCGATATTATCAAAATGATTGGCCACACCCATTTATCACATCGTGGTATCCATTCTTATATTAACCACCTCAATTTAACACCTTCAAAATGTAACTCCCCAATCTATTGAAAAAAACGGGTAGGGGCTTGTCTTCTCCATTGAATAACCAAAAAAAAAAAAAACCAACAAGATGATTGGTCATGAAACTAGTGAGAAATTTGGTCCAATCAAAATTAATTGGATCGTTAATCGAACTGACTGGGCAACATTTTTGAAAAATAAAAAATAAGAATAAATTTTAAAAATATGGAATATATTATAAAAAATATTTAACTATGTCTAATCAATTTGATCAAACAAAACTATGGTCCAACCGGCCAAAACTAGTTAAGTATTGGTTTTGAACATTTTAGGATCGAATTAAATTTTTTCTTTTAATCCGACTAGCTAAGTGCTACATGTGTGAAAATAAATTATACATGTCAAAATTTTATTTGACTTTATCTCTTTTATTTTGGGCCATTGGATTGCATCTAATCTAATGGTTGTGGTGTTGTTGGAACTTTACTCTTTGGATTATTATTGTTTTGTTTTGAGTGAGAAAGTGTGAGAAAAAGATAAAAAGATTGGACTGCAATTGAGTTTTCTCTTGAAGGCTTAGTATGCTATGTTTTAGAGAGAGAAAGTGAGCAAAAAGCTTGAACTCCATTGTTGGTTTGTTGTGTGCCCTGTTTTAGAGAGAGAAATTGTTAAAGAGAACCCATTTTTTGGTGTTTTTTATGCCTTATTTTTGGGCTCTGTTTAGAGTGAAAAAATGCCGTTGGAAATTAATATTTTGAGTTCAATTTCACCTTGTAATTTTATCAAATCAACAAGTAAAGTCTCACACCATTCTCTCATGAATATAGGTCACGATTTGCGACCGAACCACATTAAATCTTTGTGCTATATGGATTGAATGTTGCTAGATTTTTTATTTCATATTCTTGCTTTGATATTGTATACTTTTTATTGTTTGTTTATATTAATATGAGTGCATAGTAACTATAAATATTACAAATTCTTGTTGATTTTTCACTGATCGATCTTAGCATCAAGGTGCCTATTGGTTGTCAGACAAGTCGAGTCTTGATAACTACGTTGAAAAAAACAACATCACCCCGGAGTTATGGTGATCACCGATTATTACAAGTAAAACAATTGTAAAAAAAAAAACGTATGATTTCTTTCGAGATAGTGAGATGGATTTGTTGAGACTTGAGAGTAATGTGACTTGACTCTTACTGATGCTAACTTTTTACTATTGCCTTTATCATTAGTAGACATTTAAGTCAAGGCATCTTTTTCCATTGCTTCACTTTTAAGAGAAGTTTCCACTGATTATGTGCTGCGATGCAACATCTAATCCTGTCGTTTACAATTATTGCCTTGCCCCATCTTTGCCTCCGCATGGCTCAATCACCTCACCCATGTGGTAACCCAGTAACACCCCCTCATTAATACATTGTAGGGAGCAATTTATATTGGAAAATGTTTTAAGATGGCTCTAGACAGAAAATGCAGCTCTTGGACTTGATCGTTATGGTTGTAAAAAAAAAAAAAAAATTTAAACCTTAAAAATAATGTATATAGTAACACATTATCTAGATAGGCCATTTCGCCCTAAAAATAAGTTTTTGAAGATCCGCATGATCTGTACCATCTTTGAGCTTCAAATTTCATAATCGGTGTTGGAAATTGATTTTAAAGCCATTATGGAGATTTTCGATATCTAAAGTGCTTTCAGGACAAGGACTTGTGGTGAGGATTTACTTTGTTTTATTTTTGGATGAGGTTTTACTTTGTTTACATAAGCCCTAGGACTTATAGAAACTGCATCTTTTATATAACGTGAAACTACATTGTCCTATGTTGTCCAGTTTAGTTGAATAGTATAGACTCGACATATAAAAAAGAAAACTATTTTTTAAGATCGTATCAAATTTATACAGTCCAATCAAAATAGAAGTCACAAATTACTGTAATCTTGTTTCTACAAGTAAAATTACAACCTTATATAAACTTTTTCCTTTAATATAACTTAAATCCAAACCACCTTATTGCGATATTAGCTCCTCTAGAGAGAACCTTCAAACAATAATGATCATAACATCTCACATCTAAGCCCTTGCTAAGCACAATTGTGGTCCCATTAGATGGATGGAGTTTCAAGCAACAATCACCTAAGCACCTTATTATAAGCATGGCATGTTACCACTCAAAAGCAATTCCTTCCTCCTTGAAAACTGAATTATAGTATTACTTTTATGTAATCATGTGGATTATAGTGTACATTTCTTTTTTGCTATATTAATAGGGAAAGACCCAAAACTCATCTAAATCCACTGTGAATCCATTTTTACCTCAAATCCATGGTTTTGGAACTCCAAACATGTGCATATTGGATGATAATTAAATAATTAAGTTGAATGGTCCAGAAAACGACTACAAGATAAACTCTTTTTAGGGCTATTTTTTTTAATTTTAAAATCAGTAATTGTAATGGTCTAGATGTTAGATCTATAAAGTTTCGGATCCCAATCCATCTCCGAGATGGATTTTGCAAGGGTGGACGGACTACGATAGGTGTTGTGAGAAAACCCTAACTCGGCAGGTCGATGACAATGCCAAAATCATGAGAAAACAACAACTAGGATTAACACCTAGCAAAAACAGATAAAAAAAAGAGATAGAACATGTAAAAACACCAAGATTTATATGGTTCACAAAATTGATCAATAATTTCACCAAGTAGCTCCAACAATTAATATTATTTTTTAATAAATTCCTAGCCTAGTTTATTGTTCTTGACTTGATTTCTCTCCAAATCTTAAGCATCAATATCTGTAGAATGTTGTTAGAAGATGTGATTGGTATGGGTTATGCTCTCCATATTAAAAAACTGTGTGTGTGTGTGAGAGAGAGAGAGAGAGAGAGAGAGAGAGAGAGTGTAG